AGCATAGTCTCTTCTGAAACTATAGAAGCCTGAACTTTAAGGTGATAGATTTTCTAAAGATTTCACTGAGGATAAAGTGTGTGTTTTTCTATTAGTTTATACTTTTTATGTAAAAGGTAATAAACTTAGAGCCAAATTTTTTAATGCAAATATTGTAATAAAGTGTCAAAGCATGAGGCACAGAGAGAAAGAGGAAAAACAAAGCACCATTTATGCTTTACGTGACCTCAATGGTCATTTAATCCTATGCAGCACTCTTACCTTTCCTTTAAGGTACTTTTAATTGATTATGATTGCTAGTCCACTGTTGTTGGAGTAATGAAGTTGGAATAGTAATAAGGAAGTTTCTTTCTGTCTATAACAAAAATAAAAATATTTCTGTTGACTCTAACCTTCCATTAGTTTTAAGGTGCAGATTCTATGGGAAGGGTATATTTAGGTGGCTCTCACAATTTTCTGCCTTCACTCTATTGATGTGCCAACACTCTTCTTGTCCCATAACATCTTTCATTAAATAGCAGTGATCATTAACTGGGTGTCCGCATTTCTATGCCCAAATAAGAAATATTTTATATTGAAGTCGTACAAATTAACCATGTAGGAGCTTTGAAAAAACTCAAAAAGTTGTAAGTACTGTCATAATAACTGGAACTAAAGGAAAGAGTTTAATGGTGGCTCACTTAGGGAAAAACTGCTGTGTAAAACGTTTTCAAGAAACTCAGGCTCATATTTATTAAGGAAATGCTAGCATAGTTGTGAAGGATTGTGTGGCAATATGCTCTTTTTATAAATGGGAATGATGATACCTTGAACCACATCTCAAATGTTAAAAGGAAACAAAATAATAGGCCCTCAAATCAGACTGAATTTTTAAAACTTTCTGATGGTATTAAGACTACCAGAGGACCTTAACTTAATTTTTATTTAAAAGTACTAATAAGGTCATTTTTCCAATCAGAAAGTAGCCTACATACTAGAATTTTCAATGACTTCGCTGAAATTAGAATCCTCTTATTTGAAAGAAATGGAAAAGCCATTTCTTTTAGTGGAATATAACTTAAATCACACAGTACATTCATATTTTTACTTAGAAGACTTCTCAAAGGGAGTACTCTTATGTCATGGAAGAGTTTTAAATAAATTTATCATCTACTCTTAATTTTATAAGGTCTTGAGTGGCTTCTTGTTCATTTTCATTAACTTGATCTAGGATTTTTCTTTTCTCACAATCCTAATCAATTTAGAGACAGATTGGGTTAGCTGGTTGGCCATATATAACACAAATAGTACCAGTTTCACTTTGGTGACATTCAATAAGATATAAGACAGGAGACACCTTTTGAAATTTTAAAAATTATTTTGGTTTATCATCCCAGTAAAAATTAACCATTCTGGTTTATTTTCTTCAGCCTCCTGATTCCACTCATATCTAATTACAGGAAGCCCTTGAGGAAGTATGCTAAAGAGTGAAATGGTCACTCTGTCAGAAATCTAACTTGACATTAATTATAATAAAATTTATAATGGTAGCCTATTCTTTGTCCTGTGAAGCTTTGTGCATACAGCTGACTGGAAATTTATCATTTTATCATTTACCCTCCCATCTATAGAGCAGTCAGTTCCTAGAGAAGTGCCCTAAGGTGATGGCTTTTCTTCCAAAACCTTGATGCTCCTGGCTTTCAGACCAATTGCCCTGCCCAGTATCTAGAATTCTAAAGATTTATTAATGCTGATGTGGATTATTACAACAAATAAAGGATCTTCTGATCGAAGACACAATTAGGCATTCAGATTTTGAAGTATAGCATGTTGTGCAAACTTAGCCAAAACTAAGATTAAGAGTCTTACCATAATAGTCCACCCCCAAGGTTGGTAGAGACCAGTGTGTCTAGCTACCCATACAATCTGTACTCTGAGAGATGTTTATTATTTAATGAATCCAGCACATCAAGGATCTTCAGAATCTAAATAGCTGATGTCTAATCAGTAGGAGCAGTGCTACAGAGAACAGCGTTGTATCGAGCTTAGCAGAGCTACTTAGCCATAACTACTGGTTCAGGGGCTTTGTTCAAATGAGGCAAGTGTTTGCTCATCTGTCTGAAAACTGGGAAATGGTTTTTGAGAAAGCCACGCATGCATTAAGTAGAGTTACTCATGAATCAGATTAGTATTCTTACTCAGTTATAAGAGAGAAAAATTGTAAGATATTTGAAGGGTAAAATCTGTGTAAGCTAGGAAGAAAATAGGAGTTGTGATCTGTTATAATTGGATAATAATTAGATTGCACAGCAGATGACAAGTTCTGCTGGGATGATGGCAATGGTATTTGCTTATATCCCAACTTGTTCCAAAATGTGCTTGTGGCATTTCAGGGAACATTGATAGAAGCTGAGCTTCTTTATAAACATTACAGATTTGTGCACTGGTGGGGTCCCTCCGAGTGGCCTGCGGAAGGATTGGCCGAAATCAGCATGTAGTAGTGTGCAAATCAGCAGGTGGCAGGGGGTGGTTGGGGGTGCCACACAGCTCATGCTCATCACAGCTCCACTGCGCCTACCACCACTGCAGTTTGGTAGTCTCACTCGCCCAACGTGAGCCTGAGCCCAGCATCTGGCGCCCATCTGTCAGCTGAACGGCACTCCTGCTGTGGTAGCGCATTGGCCACCAGGGGGCAGCTCCTGCGTTGTACATCACTGACCTGGTGGTCAGTGTGCATCATAGCAACTAGTTGACTGGTCACTTAGGCTTTTATATATATAGATTGACTGGCTGTCACTTTTTTTTTTAATATATATTTATTGATTTTTTTTTAACAGAGAGGAAGGAAGAGAGAGAGCTAGAAACGTCAATGAGAGAGAAACATCGACCAGCTGTCTCTTGCACACCCCCCCACCAGGGATGTGCCCACAATCAATGTACATGCCCCTGACTGGAATCGAACCTGTCCACAGACCGACGCTCTACCACTGAGCCAAACCGGTTTCGGCTGGCTGTCACTTTTAACATAGATTTTCTTTAATTAATAGAGAGGTTGATGATTATGAAATAAAGTACACCTTTCCTAGGATTATTAAGTGAGTCTAATAAAAGAATTTCATATAACTTTAGTGTTAAATTTTAACTGTGTCGGCAACTGGTCCCCATTTTATCCTTCCATCAATGCACTAAACTCTCAAGACAGTGACATGTTTTGATATTTAGTGGATACTCAATAAACATTTGAAAAGAATGGACATATGATTATGTGATACTTTGGGGTAACCTAATTAGAAAGGAAGATTATCAATAATCAGGTGGACATGTTCTAATATGAATATTCTAATTGTGCTTATTTTAATACTTTATTTCTCAGCTAAAAAGTTGCCAAAGAATGAACCACAGAATCCAGGAGCAAATTCTACCAGGGGAAGAGGAGTAGACCTTACTGAACCCACACAACCAACCAGGAGTCAGTGTTGTAGTAACTAAACCTCCAGTTCGTACTCGCTGGAATAGTCTTCTGCTTCCTAAATGTAATAACCGTGGAATTGGAGCATTTAACCAGCTCAGTATGACTTCCAAAAAGAAGAGACTTATGATAGAGTCAAGTTTCTAATACAGAATTATTTTAAGTGTTTTGAACTTAATTTTTAATGACATGCATGTGACCCTCTGACTAATGTTTCAGCAGAAGGGGGAAATGAGAGCTGTGTATACTTGTTTCCTTGGAAGGTTAGGGGGAATCATTTCTCATCACCAGGGATATAGGCAAATGACTATCTGAACCCACAGTTAACCAGCCAGTTCTAAGAAAGAGATTTCAAACTTAATTTGAGCCTTTCAGAAACACTCTTTTTTTTTTTTTTTTTTTTTTTTAGAAGAAGGTTCTAAAGATATTTATGCTTAGCTATAGTATTTAGGAAACCAGTAATTTCTCATAGTATCCATATTTAAAGTATACATTCCACATTTAAACAAATTAGCCACAAGAAAACAGTCCCACATATTGGGGGGCGGGGTAGGGGGTGAGAGGAATGAACATTAGTGGCATCTAAATTGCAGGCAGTCCTCTTATTTTTTAAAATGGGGTAAAAAACAAAAAAAGGAAATAAGTAACCCCATCTTGTTTTAGGAATATGAAAACTGATAAAAGGCATTGTAATGAGTAGTGTTTCCTCTGAAGGTGAGCTCTTCAACAAAAGTGAAACAAACCAAGTGTCTGTGATTTCTGTTTAATCACTGCAGGCCATTTTATCAGTTTTGTTCAGGGGCTTGCAGGGGGCTTTTGTTCCCTTTGGTCATAATATAGTTAATGCACTAACAATTATGTACATTCAAACTTGATTATTTTAAATTTGATCTTCAGCTGTACTGTAAATAGGGTACTGCATTGTAGTCTCCATATGTTCATTACTTTTCTGTAATATTTAAGAGTTGCTTTAAAGTATACAAAATGTACAGTTACTAAAACAGCTAATTTTTCCTCTTGCCTCCTTCCAAAGGAAGGGGCTTCAGAACCATAATAAACAATGTACCAGTAATTTGTAGCCTAAGTATTGCGATACGTTAGTAATAATCTTGCAGCCTTATTTTCCAAAGTTTGTTTATTTTGATCAATTCAGTATATTGCACTAATTGTTTTAGGTATTTTCATTATATGAAATCTACCATGTGTCAGAGATGATTTAATCTATTTAAGTGTTGAACTGCTAGCAGAACTTGTACATTTACAGTAATTCAGAATTAGTAAGGAAACAATTCACCAGTGTTTAGTTTTATATTGAGGTGCTCAGGTTGGAATAAAGTGGTATAAAAAGCAAGTACTGGTTTTTCTCTTTTTTTTTTTCCAATGGAGCAGTGAACATATATAAATAGTACTATAAAACTCAAAAGTCTGCATTTATATTTTCTTTACTACATTCTTAAAAATTATTTGTGTGGTATTGATGTATTATCCTAATATCTGGTTCATTGAAGAGTTCTTTATATTTTTGTATTCTGGATAATCAGAACTTTATCTTTCATTTCAGAAACTGATATTCACTTCCATTGAGAAGTATTACCATAACTGTAATGTTGTCTCTGGAGCCAGCCACTAAAGCAGCACTTACAAGTCCGTGGCTGATATACTCAGCTGCAGCTTCATAGAAATGCTTGGGGTATATTTTTTGTTTTCCAATTGAATCTCTTGGCACACCATCTACATGGGTTGGCTTATCAGTTGCTTTCTCACTGCAAGTATCACAATTAGTTATTTCTGATAGAAATGTTTGTGTATTTTTAGGATCACAGGTGAAATTCTTAGAATTTTTTACACCAGACAATTTTTCTTTTAAATTTGTACTTGGCACCCATTCTTCAGATTTACGCTGAAACAATGTGTGAGTATTACTTTCTGGTTCAGTAGCCTTTTTTTCAAAGACTGGGAAAAACAGAGGATCTTTGGATAATCTTTTTTTTATGTTAAAATAGTGTATTTCTTTATACATTTGAAACATTGTTATTGCCAATGCAGTGACTTCCTTTTTATCCAGAACTTGCCAAAGTCCATTAGTAGCTAAGATAAGGAATTGACATAAGTCATCTATAGGGACAGACATAGTTTGAGGTACTGGAATAATGAACTTTTTCAGTTTGGGATTTCCATGAAACCCGAGTCCTCTTGTGGTTTTTGTTTGCCCTTCTAGGAGTCCATATGGTTCATTTGAACTAATTCTTGCTCCATTCTCAAGTACTCTCTTTTTTTCCTTTTTGTTTCTCAGAGTATGTTCTTTGGTTAGGCAAAAGCCTTTTCCATTTCTGCATAAGACTGCTTGTACATTACCTAAAAGATTATCAGAAAAAGTTGATCCCAGAGATTTAATAACCAATTGTATCAGAGTATGCTATTAACTTTAATAATTATGTGTTTCAATGCATAAACAAAGTAAGCCATCTTAAGATATTTTAAAATGTGTAATATGGGTTATTTATAGTCAATAAAACTGAGAGGCCAGTTTATTCCTAGTTTTAAAGCAATTTAGTGTTTAAAATACTGCATTTAGTATTTAAAAAAACTAAAATTACAGACTGAAAAATAAAATGTTTTATGAAACCACTTCCAAATGTTATATACTTTGTAGAGCCAAAAGTTGAGCTTTTTTATAACCAATATATATTCCATAGAGCAGACATTTTTAAATGTTTAAATAAATGCCTTTCATTTAAACACAAAAATTTTGATTTTTTTAGTGGAATTTGATGATTTTGTAACTGGTAATGTTAAAAACTAAAATACAGGAAGGTGGTATGGGTGATGAAAAAAATGAGAATATGACTTCATGCCAGTCTAGTTAAGTTCCTGATGTGTATGGCTTAAAATAAATTAAGTCACAGTCTTGTGAAGAAAAAAAGGAATATGTGTTATTAATGCATTAGATGGATAATAGCCAAAATGAAATTAAACCCTTTGATTGTTTGTTCAGATGAACCTGATATGTGTGCATCATTGAAATCTTAAGAAAATAAACAGTCCTCTAAACAGATTGAGGAGGGGTTGGTTGTATTACCAATTCTCTTTGATTTATTAAAAAATTAGGAAAATAGATTTTCCCCAAGTTCTTAGGGACACAACTGTATATTCAAGCATAGGCAGTTTTTCTTTATGGAATTCATACAAGTATTTAAATTATTCCAATAAGGAGGATAATGAAGTTTTGATAACGAAAATTCCCGGTATAATGAAAATTTACAAAAGAATATTCTGGTTTCATACATTTTGCTGAAGTCAGAATTTTGCTGCAAGGTTCAAGTGTAATTCCACTTTAAAAAAAAAAAAAATTCTCACCTGATGATATGTTTTTAATTTTAGAGGAAAGAAGAGAGAGAAACTGATTGGTTGCCTCTGGTACGCACCCTGACTGGGGATCTGCATCCTAGGTATGTGCCCTGACTGGGAATCAAACCTGTAACCTTTTGGTGTATGGGACAGCTCTTCAACCAGCTGAGCCACACTGGACAGGAAATCCCCTGATTTTTTTTTTTTTTTTTTTAAGTAAATGAATTTAAGTTTCAAGAGGCTGAGGTCCACAATCTAGAATGATTAAACAGAGAGTATAAATTAGTGAAAAGTTAGTATCTGGCATAAACTAAGCTTATTGGCTCATTTACATAATGGGAATTGTTAAAATACCTTGAGTTAATGGGGTCCAAAGATGAAGATATATGTGGAAGATGTTTTAGAAACCTAAGAACTGTATAAATGATATTATGACCTCTTATATTTTGTAGTAGTGTTTATTAATATTTTAAATTGATAAACAATTTAAAATTTGCTGATTATTCTACTTAGATATGCAGAGTTAATCGTTTTATTTCCTGGACCTTAGGTTGCATATGCTGTCAGCTGCAAATGGGTTGTTGAAAGCTGTTGACTGTTAAAGCTGAAAGGATAATGAACAAAAAGCCCCAAGGAAGATGGAAAATGAGGAAGATTTTAAAATAGCGCTATATGTCCATGTATCTGCAAAACTGAAGGAAGAGAGAAGCCAGTATAAAAGGGGGGACAGAGTGGTTTTCAAGAAAAAGCTCTGTAACATTGTTTGGGGGATATGAGAATTAGCAGTGAATATAATGAAGACTTTCAAAAGATTTTTTAATGAATCTGATTATAGATAAGAATTCATATTCTTAGACGTAAAATAATTTTTTAGTAGCTGGAGAGATTGTGCCATTCAGAAAGTATTATCAGAACAAAAATGGGACAGGATTACTGGAAGAGCATCATGTTGAGGGGGATTAATCATCCAGGGATTAAGAAAAATGTTTTGAGATGTTACTTAAGCCTTTTTAAGATATCTTGTATAGTCAGGCAAAATATTCCATATATAGAGGCCTGTGATGTAACTGCCTCCTGCAATTGCTGGGCTATCTTCAACTTATGAAAAGGAAAAGTATTTCTATAAATTTCAGAGTAGCCTCGGAATTCCAAAAGGAATTCTAGATCTGAATGGTCAAGATCAATATTTTTTTTTCAGCTGAAACCGGTTTGGCTCAGTGGATAGAGCGTCAGCCTGCGGACTGAAAGGTCCCGGGTTCGATTCCGGTCAAGGGCATGTACCTTGGTTGCGGGCACATCCCCAGTAGGGAGAATGCAAGAGGCAGCTAATCGATGATTCTCTCTCCTCGATGTTTCTTAACTCTCTATCTCTCTCCTTTTCTCTTTCTAAAAAAATCAATAAAATATATTTTTTTTAAAAAGATTTTTTTCAGATCAAGTTAGCAAGGCTACTGTTGAAGATAACAGGGAAGTTTTACGAAAGAACTGGAAAAAAGAGGAAGAAAAGTCATGTAGGGGTAAGAAAAGGAAACATACTTAGGATTCCTGAGTGCCCTGAGATAAAAAGATGGCTTGTTTAGAAGGAACAGCATGGGGAAGTATTAGGCCTAGTAGTAATTAATGTCGTTTTCTAATACTTTTTAAAATCGAATTTATTTAAACAATACAACAAAATTTAATCAACAATATAGTTGCTGTTGTTTTCTACTACTTGTGCCCAACACTCAGGAAGCATTTTAATCCCTCTGTTGTAAAATTGTTGTGATTTTGATGCAAAAAATTTGGTCAATGCATTTTTGAGGCATTCTTCATTATTAAATTTTTTTCCAAGAAGAAAGTTTTGCAAAGAACAAAACAAATGGTAATTGGAAGGGGCAATATCAGGAGAATATGCAGGTTGAGGGAGAACTTCCCATTCCAACTGGCGCAGTTTTTCAGCAGTGATTCTTGCAGTATGCGGTCCTGCGTTATCGTGGTGAAGAATTACGCCCTTCCGATTAATCAGCGCGGGTTCTTTTTCTCTTAAAGCTTGGGCTAACCTTTCCAATTGGGCACTATACACTGCACTTGTAATGGTTTGGTTAGATGGTAAAAGTTCATAATGAAGAATTCCTTTAAAATTCCACCAAACACACAACATCACTTTTTTCGCATGCAAGTCAGGTTTTGGCATGGGCTGAGGAGCCTCATTTTTGTCCAACCATTGAGGCCGCCTTTTCAAATTAACATACAGCTCCGATTTTTCATCTCCGGTAACAATTTGCTCTAAAAACGGCAAACGGTTTTGACGAGAGAGGAGCGAACTGCAAATTGTGACTCTCTGATTACGGTTGTTGTCGGTCAACTCATGAGGAACCCATTTTCCAAACTTTTGGACTTTGCCAAGTGCACGCAATTGATTGGAAATTGTTTTTTGTGAACAATTTCAAGTTGTCGCAAGCTCTTGTTGGGTAATTTGAGGATTTTGCACCAAAAGAGCTTGAAGAGCTTCTTGATCAAAATTGGACACACGGCCTCTTGTCATCTAACGAAAAATTTCCCTCGCGAAATTTCTCAAACCAACGCTGGCATTTTCTGGCGCTAACTGCATCTTGACCAAGAGCACTACAGATGATTTTTGCAGCCTCACTTGCTTTTCTTCCTAATTGGAACTCGTAAAGCATGCAGTGCCAAATATGCTCTTCATCCGCCATCTTCTTAGCCCTAGTTTTGCAACAGAAACCAAACCAAACACAAACTTTTTCAAGCAAAACTTGTTAATTGCACTTCACACATTCTGGAGATACCACGTGTTTGAAGGTTATGTCAATACAAGTCAACGCCAAGCAAGATTTTAAAGGAATGTTTTAAAACGACATTAATTATTACTAGACCCGATAGGAAGACTTGGGAGCTTGACATACTAAAACTTGAGTCCCACTTTGTGTGACCTTCGTTAAGTCACTTTATTTACCTACCAGTTTTCCACCTGGCAGTGTTTTTTTTTTTTTTTTAATGCTATTGTGAGGATTTAAAAGGTGTGTATGTATATATCCCCTCCCCCTCACACATCCCCATGAAGGAAATGAGAGGGAGAAACATCAATGATGAAAAAGTCATTGATTGGCTGCCTACTGCACGCCCCCTACTGGGGAAGGAGCCTGCAACCAGGCATGTGCCCTGGACAGGAATCAAACCTAGGACCCTTTAGTCCACAGGCTGACCCTCTAAACACTAAGCCAAACCAGCTAGGATAAGAAGGTACTTTTAAGAAGTACATACTTGATAAAGGTTTTCTTTGTATTCCATGAAGAGGAAAGCAGACAAAGAGCCTTTCCAAAAAAGATTGAGATGAAGCTACATATCAGAACCATATATTTTATTTTTTTATTGAATTATTATCTGTGTACATATCTTACCATTCCCCTTCCTTCCCATTTATACCCTCCCTCCCCAGAGTTTTGTGTCCATTGGTTGTACTTACATGCATGTATACAAGTCCTTTGGTTAATCTCTTATCTCCCCCAGATCTCCCTACCCTCCCCGCTGTAATTTGACAGTCTGCTTGTTGCTTTACTGTCTCTATATCTATCTTTTGGTTCATCAGTTTATAATGTAGAACCATTTATTAAAAAATTGCAAGAAAATCTCATGAAAATAGAATTATAGGCTTAAGGAAATAGGGAGCAGTAACGGGAAATGAAGAAATAGTTATTGGGGAAAGAAAAAGCAATTGAAAAGTAGCATAAGCTAAGCTAAGAAAATTGAAACACACATGAAGTTTACCTAAAATGGAAGCATAACAGAAGTGCATGTAAATGCTATTAGGGAAACAAACTCTGTCTAGTTTTTCTTAAGGACTTAATTTTGGCCAAAGAGGCTGAATTTATGCATAGACATCATTTATATGATGTGGAGCTACTTTTCACTGAGTATTCAAGGACCCCTTGCTTCATTATGTAAAATGTATGTGTATGGAACTCATGTTCACCATTGTACAGCTAGAGCCATTTTACATATTGGTCAACTGTCCATCAAATATTTGTTCGATGTGTTCTCAGAATCAGGTTTGTATATATGTGATGACCACCAAGTTGGTCTTAAATCCAAAGAACAGTATCCTTATAAGAGACCAGAATAGTAAAAAGCCATGAGAAGATGGAAGCAAAGCCACGGACCAATCAGTGCCTGCAGCCACTAGAAGCTGAAAGAGGCATGCGTTTTCCCTTAGACTTTTCAGAGGAAGTGTGACCTTGCCAACACCACCTTAATTTTAGGTTTCTGTGAGAGTGGATTTTTGATGTTTTAAGCCGCCACAATTGTGATAGGAAACTAGAATACCTAGTTTCTATTTTCTGCAAGCAAATAACCAGAAAATATCCATAACAAAATGCAAAAAAAAAAAAAAAAAAAAAAAAAAAAATCAAAACTAAGAACCCACACAGATGTTGGGATTAGTAGTCAAGAACATTAAAAGTTACAACTGCATACCATATGTTTAAAAAGGTAAGTACAGGCATGGAAGATAATTTTTAAAATGCAAGCTTGTAAAGATGAAAAATAAAATGTTAGCCCTGACCAGTGTGGCTCAGTTGGAGTGTCATCCTGTACCCTGAAAGGTGGCAGGTTCAATTCCTAGTCAGGGCACATACCCAAATTGGGTTCAATCTCCAGTTTGAGAGAGGCAGCTAATTGATGTTTCCCTCATTGATGTTTATCTTCCTCTTTAAAATCAATAAAAACATATTGGGTGAAGATTAAATAAAAATACAATGTTAAAAATGAAAAAAAATGATAGTCAGTTTGGCTCAGTGAATACAGCTTTGGCCGCCTCAGGCCAAAGGGTCCTGGGTTTGATTCTGCTCAAGGACACATACCTCGTTGCAGGCTCCTGGGCCAGGCCCTGGTCAGAATATACGCAGGAGGCAACCAAGGGCACACATGCTGGGGTTGCAGGCTTGATTCCCCAGTGGGGGTGTACAGAAAGCATCTGCTCAGTGATTCTCATCATAGATGTTTCTATCCCTTTCTCTATGAAATGAATAAAAATATATATTCTTCAATAATACAATGGATGTGATTAATGGCAAATTAAATGTTGCAGAACAAAATAGTGATTTTTGAAGACTAATAAAGTCTAAAGAGCATTATGGAGGTTTTAAGAAGAGGAAGAAGAAAAAGGTAAAGGTAAAAAATTATGAACAACAAAAAGACATCACATACATACCTGCCAACAAGTGAATCTAAAAATCAAGTGAATAAAAAATCTGAAGAACAAAATGGACTGGTGAATACAATAGAATCAGGGACATAGAAGGGGATTGGACTAAATTCTCAGGGGTAAGGAGGTCTGAGGGGTATGGGAAGAGACTGGATAAAAATCTTACACCTATGGATGAAGACAATGGTGGGGGTAAATAAAATATATTTAAAAAATAATAATTGAATGCTTAAACCAAAAAGATGTTACATATAAAATATATTGATAAAATGATAATACTTAAATAGATCTGCAGAATTAACACAATATCGAAATATAAGCTAGATATTTTTGAGGGATTGATAAACTGATCTTAAAATACTTCATAATCCTATGAGGAATAAAGTAAATTTAAAAAGCACCAAGAAAAATGATAAAATGAAATATAAATGATAAGTGATAAGAATTAAAAAAACAGGAATATCAGTTGGGAAGTATTGTTGGAGACTGGTGTAAGCTGACAGAATCTTTCACCCGAAGGGACTGATAAGATTCAGTCCCCTATCTATACAGTGTTTTTCACATGTACAAATCAGTTATTTAATGGTTTCATCACTGCCCTTACAATTCATTATAAGGTGAGGTATTTTTATTTTAATTCCAGAGTTGTGATGACACTGGTATTTTACAAATTTCAAACATGAAAAATGAATTCCCTTGCTACAATTATAGATCTCGTTTTATAAAATAAAAATAAGTTCTTAATAAATTTATGTGAATTTATTTTTTTATAGCCCATTTAAATTATCTTCTGTATCCCTACCCAGCTTGGCTCAGTGGATAGAGTGTCAGCCTGCAGCCTGAAGGGTCCCAGGTTCAATTCTGCCCAAGGGCACATGCCTGGGTTGTGGGCTTGATCCCCAGTGGGGAGTGTGCAGGAGGTGATTCTCATTATTGATATTTCTCTCTCTCCTCCTTTCCTCTCTGAAATCAATAAATACTTTTTAAAATTATCTTCTGTAGTGTAAGTCATAACCTCCCTTTCACAAGTTGAATGTTTTTCCTATATTTTTGTTTGTGAAAATGAAGGATGCCTAAATAGTGTAACACAATAATATATAAGCTTTAAAATCAGCCGTTATATTATACTAACAATAGTCAAAGTATTTTCCACTCTTCTGAAAAAGAAGTGTGAGAGATGTTTTTTGTTTCGCTCAGATCTTAACAAATGTAATGTATTTGCTTTGCCTTTATTAACTGTTGTATTGCTTGCTACCCACTTAGGAAGTTTAATGTTTTGGTGACATTATTTCATATATGTGCCTCCTTGGAAAAGAATTTAAATTGCATGGCCAGTGTGGCTCAGTGGTTGGGCATTGACCTATAAACCAGAAGGTCATGATTCGATTCCCAGTCAGGGCACATGCCCAGGTTGCAGGCTTGATCTCCAGTGTGAGGCATGCAGGAGGTAGCCAATCAATGATTCCCTCTCATCACTGATATATGTCTATCTCTCCCTTCCTCTGTGACATCAATAAAAATATATTTTAAAAATGAAAAGAATTACAATGATTCGTGTGCCTGTGATCTGCATTTAAGCTGGTTATTGGTCATTTCTTAAATTGGTCAATACAATATTTGGCATTAATAAGTCACTAAGTAATTCTGGAAGCATAAGAGGTCTTGCTGCCAGGAATTTAAAAAATTGTAAAGGTATAGCGTGGCCCTCCAACGTACCTACCAGTGTGTGCAATATGTAGTTCTCCAGAAATTACTAGCGGCACCCTCTGGGCAGGGAATCTCTCTGACCAATCATCATGGTCAGGGAGTCTCTGATTCTTCTTGGCCTTGGAACTCGTGAATTTGCCTTCCAATATACAGGCAACTGCAGAACAGCCGCTCCATCGAACCCTGGATACTTCTTCCCTCCCAAGACGTAAAAGCCTATCCATTCTCCAAAAGGCTTTGGCAAAGGCTTTGTGTATGTTCTCATGCTTACACGGCGGTTCATTTGTTTCTTTGTTTACAGAGAAGAGGTTTTCTAGAGCGATGTACTCTTTCCTAAACACTGTCTGGAAAGAATTGATTAATTTTTGCTCTTTAAGGGTCATTTGGTAGGAAGGATCAAATTTGGACAGCTGATGGAGAAGTAAAACTGGGAGTTCCTTGAATGCAAAGTCTGCTGCTGTTGGACCATGATGCCCATCAAACAAACCGAAGAAGCACACATCCAGTTTACTGCCAAAATTATTCGCTATAGTGAATTTATCGTTCATGTCCACTTTCCATGTAGAATTCTTGTCAGTGCAAACGGCTGCTCCTTTAATTAATAGATGACAGATTCTTTGCGAATGGATGGTACTATTGTGAATGTTTTCCATGATCTTATAGTACTCTGGCATTTGTTTCTTCCAAAGTACTTCTAAAGCATTATTCATGCTCTCTAGGCCTTTTTCAGTAAATGTAGAAGATGACAGTAGTTTAGTAATGGTAAACTTTCTCTTACCAGCAATCGCTGAGCGTGCTGGTGTAGTTCCACTCTTCCATTCAAGACCCAGTGTGGCCAGAGCGACATGTTGCTTTTTGTGGAGGAAAAATCCAGGTAGGTCAATTTCCTTCTTGCACATGGAACAGGGAAATGTGATGATTTGATCACAGAGCTGCTGCTCTTGCTGGGTCTCAGAAAAACTTAATGGTCTTTCCTCCTTCCTTCTAAGATACTTTCTTCTCCAAAATATTAGGAGGTCCTCTTCACACTTAAATTTTTTCATATTCCATATCTTCGCTTTCCAAAGTACTCTGCAAGCAGGATGAAAGATATTTATGTGCCAGAAATGATACAGACCCTTATCTTTGCAATTTACTTTGGTTCCCTGTTATTTTATCTAGACCTACCGTGTTTCCCCGAAAATAAGACATCCTCCGAAAATAAGATCTAGCGCATGGAAAAATAAGACATCCCCTGATAATAAGATCTAGCGCATCTTTGGGATCAAAAATTAATATGACACTGTCTTATTTTCGGGAAAACAGGGTAGAATTGAATATTGGTGCATCTTTCTGTGACCCCCCACCCCCAAAACACACACACACACACACACACACACACACACACACAGAAAATACTGAATAAATTGGTGATTGACCTGTGTGTGACTGAATAAAATTAGGTAAAATTTCCACAAAATCAGCTTGACATCTAAGAACAAATACTCAGAGAAATCAGCACAATAGTGAATCCTAAGCATCTGGAGGAGGTCAATGCTTAAGACCTAGGAATTTGATTTCAGAATATGAGCATAATTACTTTTGTACTCTATTTTGTCTTGCTTAAAACACTTTTGTCCTAATTAAAGGGTTTGCATGAAAATGAATGGGAGATGCTAAAGCCAGACTGATAGTAAGAACAAAATTTTTTTGGACCAATAGGAAAGAGGCATAGGCTAAGGAAAGGAAAGAAAGGTGTGGAGCTGGATGATAAATTTCTGGAGAGCTGACATCTTCCTATCAGAAGCATCTAGAACAGTATTCAGCACCTGGGGACATTTCTGTCCATTTTATGCACAATTCCTAGGGCATGGAATCTTTACAAGGACCTATGGAAATGTTAGAGACCTGAAAAAAATGCTTTGGTTATAAAATATTTTAAAATGCTTATTATGAAATGTGGCACTTTGAAAATTAGAGAACTTCAACTCATTCAAAACATAAATTATATTTGATATGATTGCATTTAGTGTATTAGACATGATGAAGGGTAGGGCCTACAAAAATAATGCCTGGAGCCCATAGGGACTTAAAGCATCCGAGGCATCATAATAGGTATTTAAGGATGTTGAGCCAAAACTGGTTTGGCTCAGTGGTAGAGTTTCGATCTGTGCACTGAAAGGTCCCAGGTTCTATTCCGGTCAAGGGCATGTACATTGGTTACGGGCACATCCCCAGTAGGGGGTGTGTAAGAGGCAGCTGGTCGATGTTTCTTTCTCATCGACGTTTCTAGCTCTCTATCTTCTCCCTTCCTCTCTGTAAAAATATCAATAAAATATATATTTTTGTAAAATATTTTTTTTTAAATGTTGATGGTTGAGATAAGAAATGAGCCCATTTAGCCCTGGCTGGTGTGGCTCAGTTGATTGAGCATCCTTCCATGCAGTGAAAGGTAACTGGTTTGATTCCCAGTCAGACTACATGTCTGAATTGCAGGTTCAATTCCCAGTAGGGAACATGTAGGAGGTAGCCGATCTATGTCTCTCACATTGAGATATATATATATATATATATATATATTTCAATAAAAATGTATTTGAAAAAAATGATATGCTAGAAAAGAAATGAGCTCTTTTAGTAACAATGACAAAATAATTTTTATATAATAATAAAAGGCCCTATCCAATTTGGCTCAGTGGATAGACCAGTGGCCTGCAGATTGAAGGGTCCTGGGTTCAATTCCAGTCAAGGACACTTGCCCAGGTTTCGGGCTCAATCCCCAGTAGGGGGTGTGCAGGAGGCAGTTGATCACTGATTCTCTCTCATCATTGATGTTTCTTTCCTTCTCCTTTCCTCTCTGAAGTCAATAGAAATATATTTTAAAATTTTAATAAAAGCAATGCATAATCACTTTTTAAAAATATATTTTGTATTGAATTTTTACAAAGAGGAAGAGAAAAGGATAGTTAGAAACATCGATGAGAGAGAAACATCAATCAGCTGCCTCCTGCGCACTCCCTACTGGGTATGTGCCCACAACCAAGGTACATGTCCTTGACCTTCAGTCCGCAGGCCAACACTTTATCCACTGAGCCAAACTGGTCAGGGCCATAATCACTTTTTAAATTCAATGCATAATGATTCAAAGTAGAAATATCAGCATATTAGTGAGCCTCCTTGGTGGCTCTGCCTAATCACCAAAAATGTTTTATGGAAAAATGTTAAATTACATAAAAATTGAGAGAAGAGCCCTAGCTGGTTTGGCTCAGTGGATAGAGCACTGACCTATGGACTGAGGCAGGTCCTGGATTCGACTCTGGTCAAGGGCACATGCCCAGGTTGTGGGTTAGATTCCCCAATGTGGGGAGTGCAGGAAGCAGCTGATCAATGATTCTCTCTCATTGATGTTTCTGTCTCTCTCTCCCTCTCTTTTCCTCTCTGAAATTAAAAAAAAAAATAAAAATGAGAGGATAATAAAATGAGCTCCCACATACTCACCACCAGTTTTAACTATTATCAATGTTTTTTCACTTATTTGTGTCCTCCACTTTATTTTATCCCCAAATTATATCACTCATAAATACTTCAATCTAGTCAACAAATTTGATCAGCATCCATTCACTTCTTCAATCACTACCAGCTTCTGTGCTTGGTGCAGAAGATGCATATACAGGTAAGGCTTGTGTCCTGCCTTTGAAGCTACAGGGGAGGGATTTGAAGTGCTGTCCAGATGATTATACAAAGGATTAAGTATATCAGGTGGAGCTTAGGCAAGGTGACCAAATTTGCCCCGAGTCCTGCAGCGTTTTAAAAAAAAAAAAAGTCTCGAATCTGCCGAAACCGGTTTGGTTCAGTGGATAGAGCATCGGTCTGCAGACTGGAAGGTCCCAGGTTCGATTCCGGTCAAGGGCATGTACATTGGTTGCGGGCACATCCCCAGTAGGGGGTGTGCAGGAGGCAGCTGGTCGATGTTTCTCTCTCATCAATGTTTCTAGCTCTCTATCCTTCTCCCTTCCTCTCTGTAAAATATCAATAAAATATATATATTTTTAAAAAGAATGTTTTCTGTAATAAAGCAACATTAAAAAAAAAAAAAAAAAGTTCCAAATCTTTCCAAAAATCTGAACTTATTTAAAACGCCGCAGGACGCAGGACAAATTGTTAAAAAGCAGGACTTCTGGTCACCTTAAACTTAGGATTGTCCCAGGACAGTGCCTGCCGGTGGCCTAACCCTTGATCGAGCTAGGAATGGCATTATAAGACATGAAAAGCTGATCTAGAAAAACTCACAATTGAGAGAAATCAGGAAGATGTCCAAAATAAATCCAAGGGAAATACCAGGTAGTAGCAGCAGGAGGAAGAAGACCTAGCAAAGGAAATGAAAAGGTAAATAGAGAAGCAGGGGAAGAGAATGGAAGCTGGCAAGCTTTTAAGCTCTTCTGACCAAAATGTATATTCAATATTTTAATTGCTATTATTTGGTGATATGCTAGTAAATTATACCTTTTTTTCTGAGCCTTGATGAACTGCTGGAGTAATATATATAAGGCATCCTAATATTATTTTTAAAAATATTTTTATTGATTTTAGAGAGGAAGGAAAAGGAAGAGAGAGATAGAAACATTAATGATGAGAGAGAATCATTGATTGACTGCTTCCTGGATGCCTCCACTAGGGATTGAACCTGCACCCCGGGCATGTGCCCTGACCAGGAATTGAACCGTGACCTCCTGGTTCATAGGTTGGCACTCAACCACTGAGCCATGCCAATCAGGCCCTAATATATATATATATATATATATATATATATATATATATATATATATATATATTTTTTTTTTTTACCTCACCTCAATCTTTTATATCAGAACTTTATTTTTCAGTATATAAAGGACATCCATAATACGGTTCTCTCTCACATGAAATCATTCTTAGAATATAATGTGTCATTTATACGTTCATTCACTCATTCAATTACTTGAGTGTCTGCAATATCCCAGATACTGTTTTCTTTCCTGAGGGTACAGCAGTGAACAAAATAGGCATGGAGTGAGAAGATGCTCATATTCAGATATGAGAGACAGAAAATAAATAAAGTGTACATGTAAACATCTATCAGACAGAGGTAAGTACTATTATGAAAAATATAGGTTCAGAGTATAGAGAGCAATGGAAGCCCTGTTTTGCATAAGGTAATCAAAGGAAGATATCCCTCTTACATGTGCACACCTAACAGGCAGCCTAGCTTTATTTTATTTCTAAGAAAGTGGAACTATAATTGTTCATAGATTACATTTGTTGTTCAGTAAAAATGAAGAAAGTTTACCTGAAAGTGCTCGTTTTCATATCCTTTGACATTGTTACCTTTCTGGGGACTGTCTTTGTCACCTTCCCTAGCTTCTATTTCTCCAACTTGGGTGGAGATGCAATGGTAATAATGCAAAGGTGATGGCAGTGGTATGGGTCTACTGCATCGATGTGTGGAATGTTTGCGACATCACCTGGAACTTCAGTCACTTTATGAGTTAAGCAGTTGGGTCACAAATTGTATTAACAAACTATTCTTCAAAATTTCTGAAAGAAGGATTATTCATCAAATATCCTGTCTATGCCTGCTTAATGAGATAAAAACAAAATAAGCAGAGTGACTATCAAGTAAATGTTTGTGTTGTTGTTGTTGTTGTTTTGTTTTATTTTCCTTCTAAGTTGTGGTAATTTCAAAATAGTGATTCCAGGAGTCTCCTCTTCTTCCTCTCCTCCTCTTCTCTCTCTTCCTCTTCTTCTCTTGCATGCCCACCACTGGGGATCTAGCCTGCAACCTAGGCATGAGCCCTGACCAGGAATTGAGCTGTGACCTCCTGGTTCATAGGTCTATGCTCAACCACTGAGCCATGCTGGCCTAACAAGGCTCTTCTTAATATACAAATTGCCTTCCCACTAATATATCTCTCAGGCTGTCTTAGGCCATCTCTCCCACCTTCCCTGTAAGACTGGCCAATTCATCTTGCTGTTTTAAGTCCCTGCCTGAAAGTTATAGACTTTTTTTGGACTTTTTGTTTCTTGAGCCTGCCATCACTCCTGGCCAATATCTTTAGTCTGTAGGTTCTTAATCTGGGTCTGCCTTTCACTCTTTCACCCCAGATTAGATTAGATTAGATTAGAACTGGAGTCCTAAATCAGTTTTCTTGCACATTGAAGAAATTTAGACAAGCTCAAGTGCTTACTGGACATCTCCATGGGGATGTATCACAGTCAATTCAAAATCAACATGTCCAAAATGGAATTTACTACCTTTCCTCCAGAATTTCCCCCCACCATTAGCTTGGGCAGGCTGGAAACCAAATTTCCCAGAAACCCTTCCCTATGCGGTTCCAGGTTAGAGTTGGCCAAGAAAGGAATTTGGGAGCACTACTGAATGTCATGATTCAATGAGATGACCCACAGATGCGAAAGTGCCTCGTGGGTCCCAGCTTGTTTTTGCTCCCTCCACTCTGCAGTCAGCTTTTCCTCCAGACTGCAGGTCTTGCACACCAATAGCTGCCCCAGATCCATCAGCAGAGGCCTGCCTTGGGATTGACCAAGGCAAATACTTCCTTTAGACTTCTCCATCAGCCTCGCCTTTGTGGTCCTACATCCTTGGATGCGGTGTTGACATCCTAGGCTTCTCAGGCTGGCTGGTTGGGGACTTCACTGGTCCTCCAGCTCCCCTCCCCAGATGTCCAATTGCCCAGCTCCTCCTACAAATGATGTAAGGTCTATTTGCAATGTCAAATTCTTTATTTCATCATTCCTAAGATCCAGCTCTCCTAATTGAACACTGACTGAAACAGGTGCCACCATTCCCACCACCCTGTCCTCTCTCTCAGGATATATGCTAATCATAAGGCCCGCCAGATCTCTCTCTTCAATATCCCTCTGATTACCCACTTGTCTCCTTTACCAGTAAGCCTAGTTAAGCCTAAGCCTAGTTAAGCCTAATCCTAAGCCTAGTTAAGCCTAAGCCTAATTAAGCCTAAGCCTAGTTAAGTCTAAGCCTAGTTAAGCCTAAGCCTAAGCCTAGTTAAGCCTAAATCTAAGCCTAGTTAAGTCTAACCTAATCCTAGTTAAGCCTAAGCCTGGGCCTAGTGAAGACTAAGCCTAAGCCTAAGCCTAGTTAAGCCTAAGCCTGGGCCTAGTTAAGCCTAAGCCTTAGCCTAGTTAAGCCTAAGCCTTAGCCTAGTTTAGCCTAAGCCTAAGCCGAGTTAAGCCTAAGCCTAAACTGAGTTAAGCCTAAGCCTACTTAAGCCTAAGCCTAAGCCTAGTTAAGCCTAAGCCTTAGCCTAGTTTAGCCTAAGCCTAAGCCGAGTTAAGCCTAAGCCTAAACTGAGTTAAGCCTAAGCCTAGTTAAGCCTAAGCCTAAGCCTAGTTAAGCCTAAACCTAAGCCTAGTTAAGCCTAAGCCTAGTTAAGCCTAAGCCTAGTTAAGCCTAAGCCTTAGCCTAGTTAAGCCTAAGCCTTAGCCTAGTTAAGCCTAAGCCTTAGCCTAGTTTAGCCTAAGCCTAAGCCGAGTTAAGCCTAAGCCTAAGCTGAGTTAAACCTAAGCCTACTTAAGCCTAAGCCTAAGCCTAGTTAAGCCTAAGCCTGGGCCTACTTAAGCCTAAGCCTGGGCCTACTTAAGCCTAAGCCTGGGCCTACTTAAGCCTAAGCCTTAGCCTAGTTTAGCCTAAGCCTGGGCCTAGTTAAGCCTAAGCCTAAGCCTAGTTAAGCCTAAGCCTAAGCCTACTTAAGCCTAAGCCTGGGCCTACTTAAGCCTAAGCCTGGGCCTACTTAAGCCTAAGCCTTAGCCTAGTTTAGCCTAAGCCTGGGCCTAGTTAAGCCTAAGCCTAAGCCTAGTTAAGCCTAAGCCTAAGCCTAGTTAAGCCTAAGCCTAAGCCTAGATAAGCCTAAGCCTAGTTAAGCCTAAGCCTGGGCCTAGTTAAACCTAATCCTAGTTAAGCCTAATCCTAAACCTAATGCTAGTTAAGCCTAAACCTAAACCTAATTAAGCCTAAACCTAAGCCTAGTTAAGCCTAAGCCTAAGCCTACTTAAGCCTAAGCCTACTTAAGCCTAAGCCTAGTTAAGCCTAAGCCTAAGCCTAGTTAAGCCTAACCTAATCCTAGTTAAGCCTAAGCCTGGGCCTAGTTAAGCCTAATCCTAAACCTAATCCTAGTTAAGCCTAATCCTAAACCTAATCCTAGTTAAGCCTAAGCCTAAACCTAATTAAGCCTAAACCTAAGCCTAGTTAAACCTAAGCTTAGTTAAGCCTAAGCCTAAGCCTAAGCCTAGTTAAGCCTAAGCGTAGGCCTAGTTAAGCCTAAACCTAAGCCTAATTTTTTTTTAATTTTTAAAATTAAATTATTATCTGTGTACATATACCATACCATCATTGTCTCATGGTACCAAACTCCTTCGCCTGACTTACTCCGAGTCTGCTCGCCTCTCAGTGCATCCATTCCCCTGGGAGCAGCACATGTCGTGCAGCTGACTTAAGGCTTCTTACTGGCTCGCCCTTGTTCTTGAGATAAACTCCTTATGCATCTGGCAGATCTCTGCCTCCTTGGCTTCTGCTAACCTCTCATCACTACCCCCTCACCCCATGCCAATATTGTGTAGAGACGTTAAACAGATCTTCACCAGTTTGATAGGAAATGCTTTTCATCTGAATGTCTTAGTATCCCGTTGCTTTGTAATTTCCACCACGGATGCATGCACTGCGTATTCATTCCCCGCAGCTGCATCGCCCTCATGCCACCGGAGTTTGGGAAGGAGGGAGGCCCCTTTTTCAAGCAAGTACTGAGTCTCCTGTGCGCTCAGGCTCCCGGGGTGGGGCATCTCGCAGGGTGGCTTGGTGGCTAACCTTATAACTGTAGTTTTGAACTCAATGTCCAATCTTTTCTTTTCCTCCATTTCCTTCCTTTGTGTCCTTCCTCTTGTCTGCATTTTAGTTGTTTCCCTGATTTGATGGAATAGCTTTGTGTGCTAGGTTTTCTGGTAGAGCCCAGTAGCACAGCCTTCCCAGTTACCTGCGGTGGACAGTCTTGGTGTAGCCCTTTGTGGGCTGTGTGTGTAGTCTTGTTGTTAAGCCTTGCTTCTTGTTGGTATCACTGGGAAGTGTTGATCTCCAAGCCTGTGGTGATCACTGGGTGTTGGTATCACTGGGAAGTGTTGATCTCCAAGGCTGTGAGGATCAGCAGTGTCTCAGCTAGGAGGGCTTCTGTACTTCGCTTGGATAGGGCAGGGTCTCGGGGTGGCGCAGACAATCTTTGGTTCCCTGTCAGTCTCGCCTTAGAAAAATCCTGTTCGTGGAGAGTTTCGGAAGATTGGTTGCAGGCACGCGCACCTCTTTGGTAAAGGCGCAGACAAGCTTTGGATTCCGGCCAGTCCCTCCTTAGAGAAAGCCAGCCCCTGGAAGAGCTTCTGTGCTCAGCCACAGATGGGGTGGAGTCTTGGGTTGGTGCAGACAAACTTTGTTTTCCCTTCAGCTCCTCCCCAAGTCCCGCAGTAATGGCCTCTGGCTTCACACACCTCCGAGAGATCTCTGCCCACTGCCTGACAGTCTGGCCTCTTTCTGTCTGGGGCTGTCTATCAGAGCAATAGGTTGATTCTGTTTTCCTTTCGAACAAGAAAGCCAGCCAAGTGTTAGCTGTCCGCCCTCTCCGCGACAGGAGTAAGCCAGCAGCAATCTCGGTCTGGCCCTTCCTCTCTGTGCACCGGGAGTAAGCACAGTTCTCCTTACTTTCACAGTTCCTGAGGTTCAGCGTGCCTTCTTTCCCCTTCCCAGATGGCAGAGCCTCCTCTCAGCTAGCTGTCTGGCGCTTCAGGGCAATGCCTCCCTTGTTTTTCAGTTCTAAATTCAAATTTGTTGTGGTAGGCTGCATTCGGGTGTCTACCCTATGCCGCATCTTGGTTTCTTCCCCTCTTGGATTCTTGTATGTGTCCTGACTGGGGATCTAACCCAAAACCTTGGCATGTCAGGTTCCGCTCTAACCAACTGAGCTTCCAGCCAGGGCACAATTATTCATTTTTTATACTGAGCATCTACAGGAGTAGGCACTAGACCTAAAAACCAATGGCAGGTCTCTACACTTGAGGAGCTCAGTGTCACAGGAAAGATAGATACACGTATATACATTACTGGACAAGACCAATGGCATTGCTTACCATGTGCAATGACTATTTCTAGGCAATCCACCCACTTTGTCTCACACCCATACAACCCTGCAAATAGACCCTATCGACCCATTTTACAGACAAGGACACTTCAGCTCTGCAAGGCCACTGAATGACCTTCCCTGGAGCAAGCGTCAGAGTTGGGAATCAAGCTCCCAGAGTGTTGACAA